TTTGCTACCTTCTGCGAATTTATTGATTTATTATAGTTATAACACACTGTTTTACGTATTTATCATGATCATACTTAGGTGCAGTGGAAATGTCATGTCTTCTTCATATTTGAATGATAATAAATTATTCTACAGAATAAACGTAACCAAGTCCAAGAGCGGAAGTTTGTGACGATGTCATATATTTCATCATCCCGCGCTTGTACTTCATTCATCTAATTCTACGCGACGTAAATCAAGCGGTTCGCGAACGCGTCCGAATCCAACGGATAAAATATGGCGGGACCGTTGACAATTTGACATTCATCGTTTCCCGCGCTATTTGCATAGCCTCTCGCGTCTCTGGTATTCCCACGGACATGTCTCAATAACATCGGTTTAGATCGCTAAATTAATTCAAGTGAATGGTGGCTTGTTGTCTGTAAATGGTCGTAATTATTTGATTGTCGATAACTAAGTAGTGTTGTTCTTGTTCAGACTGGCAGCTAAATGCTGCCGTGCCTTGTGAGTTATGTTTCCTAAGTTTTAATTAACAATCAATTGAAATTTTGTCACAACATTTGGAATGACGTTCTCCGTTTCTTTTTAAACGTTAAATATTATTTTGACGCGCTAATAGCCAAATAATTAAAGTATGGATAGTTGATATGGGTTCGAATCCCGAGATTTGAATATTGTCATAAGCTATATCCTAGCTATGTCTGGAGCTTTATTTCGATGGTTAGTTAAATTTTATTAATTATTAAATTTCAAGTTTTTAATAAATAAAAAAATATCACCAACTTTCAATACCAACAAATTGGGATACCAAATGTCTTTTAAACACAGCTTCCGGTAGCTAAAAGCGAATACAATTAATTAGCCTCTACAATCGGAACAGTCGGTCGTAGTGACTTGCGCAAATCCCAATCCGAGACCGAATTAGCATACAAGATAGCGACCGCTCGCGTATCTGCAAACTAAATCAGCGGCCGGAGCCCTACGGCCGCCGCGGCCGGAATTCGAATCCACGCTCTCCTTTTGCGTAACTCCACGAGCGCCCTTGAACGCATACAGTTTCTAATACCACTTGGCCTAACATATTCTACTATTAAATCAGGTTCTCAAACCTAAGCAGGACATTTGGGTAATGAAATAAAATAAAAATTACCGGACAAACCTTACCTATATGTACGGTTTTATTCGGACACCTGGCAACGGTACTTACAAGGCATGACTTCGAAGATTTCGTTTTGGAAAACGTTTAAGCTTGTAGTTCTTGTAAAGAACCTTTGGAAGTACTTGTGTGAACTGATGCTTGTAAATCTTGAATGAATAGTGTAAAAGAACAATGCATTCGTGTCCGGTTTAAATCACTGCTATAAATAGATATCGAGTGATCTTCCCCTCCCCATTTAAACTGCAGCACAAAACCCGGTAAATAGAGCAAAAATGACGGCCGTCGAGGGATCGCCATCAGTTGGCGACATTTAAATGTGCGTCGGCGCTTTTACCTCCGCCATTTGCATGAGATCGCGTCGATCGGCCATCTTGTGCTTTTTTTTTCTTTTTGCAAATATAAGGCTCGAGTGACATCAAGACCGTAACTTTTCTTAACAACTTTTTTTTGGTAAAAAAGCGTGAAAAATTGATCTGATCATCTTTTGTCAGAATAAGAGCAACACATACTCTTAAACGAAGTTATCTAAGCTGTTGGTCCTCCGTCTGTTGACGATCACACTGAGTGACGAAAAATTAGTGATTAAAATAGAAGGAATATCTCTGTTACCAATAATTATTTGAAGATTCTACCTACGACTAAGTAAACGCGCTATTAAAATTAATGCTCCCGGTCCGCCCTCAGCCTTGCGGAAACTATTTTGTTATTTATTTTGTCGCATCGTATATTCGGTAGCGGTCTCTCAAAGGACTCGATTCGATTTTTACTTTATTTTTGTTTATTAAATACGTAAAGTTTGTATTTAGCGGATTCTATTGTGCTTAGTGATCCTACTGATAGATCATTTATATTCAAACGCACACTTTTAACGTATTTAATGCAACTAACCGTAAATAAAGGAGAAATTACTATAGTATTTTTTGGCATCAAAAACACAAAGATATCTATCTACTTTTAGACATTGTTCGTTAGAATCATTTGGCGCGAATGGCGCGCTTTCATTAAAAAGTCAAGTGTCAGAATGATTAGTGAGGGGACATAGACATTTTACTAAGGCTAGTGTTGCGCCATTACATCGGCATAGTGTCGGATTTTCTTCCTAACACTACAAAAATCATCTTTATGAAATCTATGTTTCGAAGTTGAGAACCATAAACGATGTAACTTGGCAATAGAAACTTCAGTCAATAAAATTAATCAATATCGGGATTCATACCCTGTATAACTCTTTTCATGTGTCTTAGCGGCCCAAGGTCATCGCCAAGGTGCGCATTGCCCCGCATGCCGCTACACCTAACATTGTGTTTTGCGCAGCGACTCGCGCAACATTAAGAGCCGCTATGATTTGTGAAAACACTTATACTAATTCCCACATCATAGAAACTAATAAAACAAACAGCTTATAAAATAGTATTTATTATCATATAACATTAGAATATTTGGTGACGATGTCCCTGTAGAAGTTGAACACGAGGTCACTTGCCGCACGAGACATCTCCAGTGCCTCCTCGTACGCCGCCTCGCTAAATATTCCCTCCGAGAAACCTGTTGTGACAGTAGTTACATTAAATTTTTGTATATTTTACATTTTGTAGTAATTTTAAGTAACAAAATTTAATATAATAGAATAAAGTCAAATTTGGATTAGCGAGAAACCTCTATAAGCGAGAATCGTCTATAAATGTGGTCGGTTGCGCCCAACCGCTACGTCAAGTGACGTCAATAAACCAGTCTGCATTAAGGAAGCGTTGTTTCAGTTACCCCTCCACATATCTATCAATAAGCGAGTCATTATGTGGTCTCGACGTACAACCACCATAAGCGAGAAACCTCTATAAGCGAGAGTTAATATCTGGTCCCTTTGACTCTCGCTTATCGTGGTAAGACAATATTTGCTTTATATTTAAATAAAGTGTAGATTCAGTTGCCACATTCTTAACCTAATTTCTTAAAATAAAAAAAAAACACCAAACATTAAAACTCACCTGTAATTAAATTTTTATTCCGACTATCAAATACAAAGTTAAATCTAGCCTTTGCATTCATGACTTCCTGGTACGTAGGCTCCAATATTACATTGCCTGTCTCATCTACAGCACAGGAGACAGCAGCAAAGACATATCTCATCGCTAATCCGGAATTGAGTAGAGCGAGACAGGCACAGTTTACTGAACAGGACAGAAGCTGGAAAATTACATTTTAAATTATTAGTTAATTACATATTTACTGCTAAGTCTTAATATTTATAATATTACAAGAAAATTCTGACAGAAATTATAAAGGAGATATATAGAATTATATTTTGTTTAGTTATTTGTTCTAAGTAATTTGTAGTCAGTATAGTACAGAATATAAATATAACTAAAAGCCTATGTGTTCTTCCATGCTTTCTACATCTATGCCAAAATTTCAGCAAGATCTATGCAGCCATTCTGGACATAACTTCTATCAAATATCCATCCATACATACATCCAAATATTTGCATTCACAATATTAGTAACATATTTTAAGTAGTGACTTGTCTCAATTCCACTAAGAAGTATTTACTACAATGAATTAAACATTAACACTTTCTTTGCTCAGTTTAGTAGAACATGTAAAAATCATGTGGCATTGTATATATTAATATTTATATCTCACCCCTCCGTAATCTTCCAACTCTTGTATTGTGACTGTGATGCCAGTACGAGGGTAGAGACTGCCCATTATAGCACTCTCACATGTCTGTCTAATTATATGTTCTTTATATCTGTAAATATTAAATAAAAAAATAGACACAATTAATAAATGCTTACATTGCTAGCATTCTAACTCAATTATTTAAAATGACAGAGTATAAACAGTAGATCAGGTTGTTGATGGTTTGGATGTCAACAAAACATCATGTTATATTATTTTTACCAACTGGTATATACAGGTTGATTTTGTTAATTAGTTGATTAGTAGCCATCACACATTTCTTAAAAACAGACTGGCTGGAGAAAAAAAACAACCAGCGGCCCATGTAACCCTTGATTTCAACTAGTTGAATGTAAAACAGTTAAACGTTGATTCAACTAATGTTGTAATAACTTCATGGAATCAACATATATGATTTTAATAATATAATATTTACCTGTCAGGTACAGAAGGTCTGCCGCCTTTCGTACAGAACAAGACTTCTAAATAGCATTTTTCAATGCTCTGGTTTTGTACTTTTATATCCAATGGGCCGTTTACACTTATTAATGTTACCGTTTCACCTAAAAATGTATGGAGAATACATTTTGTAAATGGTATTTATTTTGATTTTAAAACTTAAAAATGGATTACTATGTATACATAAGAAATAATTAAAATACCTTGAGATAATATCGCAGATCCATCTGATTTGCTTAATACATTCAATTCACATTTCATATGTTTTAGTTTACATTCTTTTAAATCAGCAGCTTCAGTCATCGTAGCTTTTTTTAAGTAAATAGTGATAATATATATGATATATATATGAAGTTTAAAACATTTTAAACTACAGTTTTGCAGAAATTTATAACCTTACTGTTTTAGTGGTAAATTCAAATATTATCCTTCTTTTATTAAAATATTAAAAATTTATACCTATAAAATATAACCTTACTTTTTTGACATTCAACATTTGTACACAAAACACACATTTCAGTTTTAAAAAATTTGCTACCACTCAAAAAAGCTTTTTCAATCATTTTTAACATTAAAATTTTTAGTAGCAATCAAACAAACCTTGGAATGTAAGAAATCTATAAAAATTTTCTATAAGCAAAAACCGAAAAACAAGCGCTTTCCATGTTTTGATTTCAGAACCGAACTTTACTGTCACTGTCAAAGTACGTGAATGTCAATTGTCATATGTCAATTATCCAAGAACTTGCATGAAAGCAAAACTGTATTTTACTTGTTTCTTTTCAAATACTTGAATCATCAAAGCAAAGGTAAAAGTGCCTACAACTTATAAATTGATAATACCACATAATTTTGTAATTTTTTAACATACATACTGGCACTTATTGTCATTGAAAGCTACACTATAAATTTACACTGATAAAACTTTTCCAGCTGATGTTTTAGATTGAAGTACATCAGGAAAATCAATCAAAATGAAGACGAGGTTCAACACTTATGATATAATATGCATGGTAGCGGAGTTACAAAGGTATAAGCACTGATATTATTTTTATCTACTCCTTAAAATCTTGCCAACCTTTTTTTTAATGCTAACAATTTTTTAAAAGAACATAATACCACAAACATCTGAGCCGTCAAATCTGTGCCAATAAGTAGATGTTACTACATTCTTATTAGTATCTTAAGTTCTCAGACAAAATCTCTTGCTAAAATAGACCAAATAAATATCTAAGATTTTTTTTGCCACAGATTGGTGGGCATGCGAGTCAACCAAGTATATGACATTGACAATAAAATATATGTCATAAGATTCCAGCGTTCCGAGGAGAAAGTAGTGTTACTTTTAGAATCAGGCAACAGGTTCCACACAACACAGTTTGAATGGCCTAAAAATGTTGCACCATCAGGATTCACAATGAAGGTATATTATAAGTAGATTCAATTTAATTTTATATGAATTTACCAGTATGAATGGCTGTTAACAAAGCAAACATTTAAATGGTGCTAGTAATATGTAAAAAAAGGAAAGAAGAAAAGAAAGGAAAAAATAAAAAGCCTTTTAAGGATTTATATTAAGTTATTCTAGTTCTGTAATTATTCATGGCAGGATTATTAGACTCGTATTTTATACTAAACTGATATATATACACGGCTAAACACTCACATATATACATCCGGTGGCGGCACCGACTAGTTTCGAGCCCATCGGGAGCCCTTCATCAGGATGAGTGGTACTGGTATTATATCGCGGACGCGGCCCCATCGCTCACTGCGCGCCTGCGCTCTTAGGGCGCGTCTTGAGGGGGCGGGGGGCGCGGGTTTCGTATTTCATAAAAGAAAAATAAAATAATGTAACAAAAAAACTTATATAATAACCATGTTATTCTAGCTACGAAAACATTTAAAGAACAAGCGTCTAGAGAGCATAAGTCAGTTAGGTGTGGACCGTATAGTAGCACTGCAATTTGGCAGCGGAGAGGCTGCGTACCATGTGGTTTTAGAACTATACGACCGGGGTAACATAGTACTTACTGATTATGAATGGACCATATTAAATGTACTACGACCACATGTGGAAGGTGATAAGATAAGGTACAAATTCAAATAATAATAGTTTTTATAACAAATAAATTATTAAAAAATGTTTACATAATAAATAGCATATATAGGTTAATTATTGTAAAGATTAATTCATCATCAACCTGCCCTTATCCAAACAGAGGGTTGGCACAGTACATACTACTCCTCCATACATCTCTATCAGTTGTCATATCTGAATTCATCGCCTTACACATATCCTCTTTCCCACAATTCATCCTTTTAGACATTATTAGTTAGACTTCTTTGCGCGAATGGTGTGCTTTCGGTATTAAGTCAAGTGTCAGATTGATTAGTGAGGGGATGTAAACATTGATTCAATATACGTCAGTATAATAAGGCTAGTATTGTGCCAGTACACCGGCACAGTAGGGTTTTCTTCCTAACAATCTATATATTATTTGGTCCTCCTCTAACTTTGTAGCCATCCATATACAATCTTATTACTTTTTTTAATATGAAATCATTGTAATAAATCATTTTAACTTCAAAAAACTTAAGTAACTATTTTTTTTGTATTATTAAAGAGAGGCATTGCTCAGGGTCAAGGGTCAATCACTTGATTTGCAATCTGCAGGTCCTGTGTTCGAATCCCGCCATGTACCAATATGTTTTTCGATTTCCGAATTACATATGTACATTTATCCGACGTTCTTACGTTGAAGGAAAACATCGTGATGCAACCAGCACATATCTGAAAAGAAATTCAAAGATATGTGTGAAGTCAGCCCACACTTGGCCAGCGTGGTTGACTATGGCCTAATCACCCTAACTTAGGGTAGGCTGATGATGATGAAAGAAAGGCATTGTATAATTATTTCTTAGGTTTGCGGTAAAAGAAAAATATCCATTAGACAGAGCGAAAACAGATTATTCAGCTCCCAATGAAGAGGTGCTCAAAGAAATATTGTCTAAAAGCAAACCTGGTGACAATTTGAAGAAAACACTTAATCCTAATCTTGGTAAGAGTTAAAATATTTTTTTATATTTCTACTTCGTAATAAAGGCTATCTTGTTAAATGATATTTTATACCAAATTATGTAAGTTCAAAGTTATTACTTATCTCCAGAATGACTTAATGGATTTCAATGAAATTTGCCATAGTCTGTAAGAACAAATGCTACTAATCAAGTTTAATTCCTTGCCGTCATAGTCAAAAGATAGTTTCAGTTATATGTCAAGGAAAAATAATACTTAACTTGAATATTATATAAATTTTAAATTTAATAAAGTAACTTTTTATCTTATATTTCAACTTATAATTGAACTCAGAGAATTAAGTGATTGTTAACAAAATCCTTAGTATCGATTTCTCTCTCTTAGATCTCATTAAATGACTATGAGTAGAATTAAGTGATATTTTTTTTCCAGAGTTTGGTGCAGCAGTAATAGACCATGTACTCTTAGAAAACGGACTAACAGGAAATATGAAAGTAAATAAAGAACAAGGTTTCTTAGTAGACAGGGATTTGGACAAATTGGTAAAAGCACTGAAACAGGCAGAACATATGTTGGATAGTGCAAAAAATACAGTGGCCAAGGTAAGGTACTATTTTTTTTGCCATCCTACAAAAAAATATGCTTTAGTTAAATAAATACTTGTTAACACAACTTGAAGATATTCTAATCCACTTCTCACTAAATTCTAATCATGAAAGGAAGGAGAGGGGATGTATTTGGCAGGGTAGGGGATGTAAAAGCTTATCTTATATCTTTATACCTTATATGTAGTCAACACATTTGAACATTTGTAAAGCAGTCTCAAAAAGGTCTCCCTCTCACTGGAGAAGTATCAAGTAGTCACAATGAAACACTGGTTATATCTTGGTGCGAGTCAACTTTATTTAAATGCGATCGGCAAGTCGATAAACATACCAAATAAATCTATATCGTGATCTAAACAATATGTTCTGCCATCTATTGATATAATTATGGAAACTTAATTGACATAGCGTTCAACAACATTACTAGTAGTAACTTTGTTATTTTTCTTTTTTGTCATTACTCTGTAACCTTTGGCAGTGAGTTTTAAAAAAATATTACACAATCTATATATTTTTTTTATTTTTTGAGGTTAAACTAACAATATTACAAACGAAGTAATCTTACTGATATTATAACTGCGAATGTTTGGATGGATGTATGTTTGAAGAACTCCAGAACGGCTTAACCGATCTAGTTGAAATATGGTATAGATGTAGAAAAATAGTCTGGAAGAACACATAACCTACTTATTTTTTTTTTATTCCGCGGATGAAGTCGGGGGCGACAGCTAGTATAACAATATATATAAAAGTATTATACGACATAATTTATCACCACACTTAGGGTAAGCTCCGAGCTCCTCGGGTGGGATGTACAGTGAGTTGAGAGAGAATTTATCTTCTAGGGTTATATAATCCAGAGGAGAGAGGAACGGCCTGCTGCGGAGGGAGAGGCTAAGTTCCTCTTAACCAACCAGGAGTTCCATCCTGTACTCTTTGCTCAGTACACGAACCAACCTTTTGTTGAACTTGAAACTTTTGATAGAGCTGTCGATGAATTCTTCTCAGCGTTGGAAGGACAAAAGATTGATATGAAGGTAAATAAGTTTATTATAATCTCGAAGGTATCTCCGGAATGGCTGTATAGATCTCGCTTTGGCATAGATGTAGAACATAGTCTGGAAGAACTACGATGACAGTTAGTTTTAAATATGAAAATTACTAATATTTACTATTGTTTTTTATTTTATTCGTACAGCAGTAATTTGATAAAAAAAAATTCAGGACAAAATAAAAAAAATGTCCTTGAATTTCAAGAAATTAGTAGACTGAAGTGCTAGCATCGGTGGAGGCACAACCGCGTTCACAAATAGTCCGCATCTGTTTGCCCAAAAACTAATGAACCTTAGTTTTTTTAATTAAATGTTTAATAAAATGAATCCAGACAGTCCAAATGGAGAGGGAGGCAATGAAGAAGCTGCAGAACGTCCGCAAGGACCACGACAAGAGAGTGACAGAGCTGAGCAGAGTGCAGCAGGACGATAGGAAGAAAGCGGAGCTGATATCTCGCAATGAGACGCTGGTGGAGCACGCCAGGATGGCCATACAGACTGCGCTGGCCAACCAGGTAAACTTTGTTTTTTATTTACAGTAAGTTTTCACTGTCTACATACTTGTTGAATAACATTTCATCTAGAACTCTTCAAAATATAACAATTTTTAACACAAGTCCCAATAGCTTAATGGTTAAGAGTACGATCACGTGGTAGAAAGTTCGAATCCTGCCGTAAGGTTACTGTCGTAAACCATATCCTAGCACAAGTCTAGAACTTAGTAAGAATGATACAAGAAATATTAGTAAATTAACAAAAAACTTGATAATATTTAAAAAAAAACACTTCATATCTTATTTTTGTACTTTTTGTGCTCTAATTTAAAAAAAAGTGTCTTGAAAAATAAACGTTCGGACAAAAAAGTGATGCTATAAGGGTTCCGTTTTTTCCTTTCGATGTACGGAACCTTAAAAATGATTCATTTATGTTATTTAATAAAAAATAATTACTTATATATTAAAATTCGATTACATAATAGTTTTCCAATTATGTTTTTTTATTGGAATTTAATAATTTCCAGATGTCATGGGACAATATTGGCTTGTTAATAAAGACAGCACAAGACAACAAGGATCCCATCGCATCCGTCATAAAGCAGCTCAAACTGAACACCAACCACATCACCTTGCTGCTCTCTGACCCTTATGATGATCAGAGTGATGATGATGAAGATGATGATGATAAGCTAGATCTGAAACCGATGCTGGTGGATATAGATCTGTCTTTAACAGCATTCGCTAATGCCAGGAGGTGAGAGTTATTTTATTTGATATGAAAATTATATTTCGGTTAAAAAAAAAACAATATTGTTTCTATGTAATAAATAATATAATGTCAGTTATATACAACACATAAGAATTTTGGAAAGTAAAAACAATTGGTGTTAAATATAAAAAAAAACTACAAATTATAACCTATAATATAATTTTACTAATATAATATTAACGCAAAAGTTTGGATGTATGGATGAATGGTGTTCACGAGCAAATAAAAAGTACAATTTTGATAAAAATATAAGTTTCGTTCTAAAAGAACTAGATGGCGCTGTCCTATTTAAAAGCACGCTAGCATTTTGTTTTACTGTTGTATTGTGATTGCGCTTAACGCTAATTAAACGAATCATCCACCCGACCTTTATTGTATCATTTAATACGGGTCCCGGGGCTCTTTGGGTTCCTGTACAAATGGATAGATATTTGTTAGAAAACTCCAGAACGAATAAATTAATTTCGCTGAAATTTAGCAAAGATGTAGAACAAAGCCTGGAAGTATATAGAGGCTAATAGTTAAGTTACTTTTGTAATTCCGGACAGACGGAGTCGCGGTTAAAAACTAGTATTATATTAACATATATCCTGTTTAATTATGTTACTTTTAGATACTACGACCAGAAACGCAACGCAGCAAAGAAACAGCAAAAGACAATAGAATCTGCAGACAAGGCGTTGAAGAGTGCGGAGAGGAAGACCAAGCAGACCCTGAAAGAGGTGCAGACCATCAGCAGCATCAGCAAGGCGCGCAAGACTTACTGGTTTGAGAAGTTCTACTGGTTCATCTCCTCGGATAACTATCTTGTGAGTTGTCGTACTTCTTACTAATATTATAAATGCGAATGTTTGGATGTATGTATGTATGTGGATGGACTTGCCATCAAATAATACCTTTATAAAATAGTAAGTAATATTAAAAAAAATGTTAAGTCAATTTTTATGTTTTCTAGTTAACGCTTTAACCAACTTGTACAATAATCCAAGCCATCACAAAATGGTGGATCACATTTTTATACAATCACTCCAACATGCTTATCAAATTAAAAAACTTGACTAACTTCAAGATGGCTGCTATACTAAAAAACAGAAGGGAAATTGAGACATGTATATACGTTTCAGGTGATAGCGGGTCGCGACCAGCAGCAGAACGAGGTGCTGGTGAAGCGTCACCTGCGCGCGGGGGACCTGTACGTGCACGCGGACCTGAGCGGCGCCTCCTCCGTGCTGGTGAAGGCGGCGGGCAGGGCGCAGCCTCCGCCCCGCACGCTCGCTGAGGCGGGGCAGGCTGCCGTCGGATACAGGTACACTCACGTACCTTCGCGGTCATACATTTACACAACATATCGCCTTGCTCCTTGCAACTATACCGTAATCATACGAAAAAACCTCAACAGTTGCTTCATTGCAAACAAATATATTATACAAGAGAGTTAGAAACGTGCGTACAATTTAGGCTTATGTCTTAATGAACTTGAAATAAGCCCCTTCTTACAAAATAATCAATTAGGTAAAAGTGAGTGGCCTACTCCGAAACATCGGAAATCTTTTTTTGTACAGACACATTTTATAGCTGCGTACTATTGGTTATTGTTTCGTTATTCGAACGTTCAAACGAGTGTCGCTTTTAAGATGCAATATCGCAAAATTCCCCGATAGTACTTACATACCGTATGTAAGTGCAGTGTACATGATCTGAGTATAATTACAGCGTGGCGTGGGAGGCGAAGGTGCTGACACGTGCGTGGTGGGTGCAGGCACACCAGGTCTCCAAGTCCGCGCCCACCGGAGAGTACCTCACCACCGGCTCCTTCATGATCCGCGGCAAGAAGAACTACCTGCTGCCTGACCATCTGCAGTTCGGGTTCAGCTTTATGTTCAGGGTCAGTTAAATACTAAGATATTATATAAATACAGTCAAAAAGCAGGCTAGTAATATTTAGTATTAATTTGGTGTTTACAACAATATAACCGTCGTGGTGTTTTGACAGTGGTAGAGCCCGCTTTAACATCTTCGCACGAATTGTCCCGACTCGCCCGGTGAAATACCACAACCACACAGAAGACAGGCTTCAAGTGGTAGCTATTCTGCGTTTCGTCTGATGAGTGTGCGTCCTCTTTCCCTTTCCACCCTTTTTCTTATAAGGTAAGGATGGGAAGTGGAAGTGGACTTTCCGGATGAGAGGATGCATAGGAAGGGAATATATTTTCTTTCTTTGCATCCTCTCCTCCGTCGATGAAAGGCAGGCAAGGCATATACAATTGCGTATGTCTATGGGCAACGGTCACTTCGCTATTTCAGAGATTTCAGGTGGCCGCTCGCTCGTTTGCCACCTTTTGATATAAAAAAAAACTTAAAGTGGTAGGCAGAGACCACGACCATTTACCCTGACACACCTCTCTTGTACTTGGTTTTAGTGATCGTATATTTTTGTGTACATTTTATACATTTTTATTATTAAATTAGATATTTCATTTGACTTTATTTACTCCTTCATATTGATTATATAATATTTGCCATTTTCACATCACATAATATTTATGTAAACTTTTCTATTTACTCAATATATATAAGTTTAGTTGGAAGACAGCTGCATAGAGAGACACAGAGACGAGCGCAGAGCTGTCGCGCCGGAGGACGCATCTGACGTCATCTCTGACGTCACCTCCGCACAGGATCAAGACGAGGAGATCCTCGTATCTGATGATGGTAACTTATATTCTAATCCTGTATTTAATTACAAAAATGAGTCTTGATAGACAGACGGACGGACAACAAAGTGATCCTACAAGGGTTCTGTTTTTTCCTATGAGGTACGGTACCCTAAAAAATACAATTTAATGCATATTTATAACATCTCACGTATAAAAAATCTATAACTCAAAAGTTGTAAAAAATTTAAAATTTACTAAAGTTTTTTTTTTAATTAATAGAAAAAAAAATTACAACTTTGGTGTGATCTCTTTTGTAGACGAACCGTCCGATACTGAAGACAGTAAGAAAATAAACAGACTCGAGTCGATCACAGAAGAGACGACGCAGATTAAAATAGAAGACGCACCAGAGAGTGAGAAGGAGAGCAGAGAAGAGACGGTGGGAGAAGCAGAGAGCAGTGATGATGACTCTGATAGTGGAGTACTGCACACACATATTAAGGTATTATTGTATACTAGCTGTTGCCTGCGACTCCGTCCGCGTAGAATTAAAAAAGTAAACATAAAAAGTGGCCTATGTGTTATTGCAGTCTGTTCTCCCTCCCCCTCTCTTTATCCATCCATCCATACATAAACTTTCACATTTATAATATTAGTAAGTTATTTTAAAATGGTGATATCTTTCTATTAATTCCATCCAAAAGTTTTGATTTTTTATACATTTCATATATTTCCTACCTAATTTTATTGGAAAAAAAAATAATTAGAACTTTTGCATTCCGACAGTTTAAAATGATGAATACTAATATTGTTTTCAGGTGGATCACGGTACAGGAGAAGTTTTTACCGAATCTAAAACAAGAACAATATCAGAAATGTCTGATACAAGTAAGCGTTATATTTTTAATAAATAAAATAAATTGTTACTTGACATGTTTCAAATAAAAAAATATATTATAGGTGAAGACAAATTTACTTTCCCCGCGTTACCAAAGATGACGAAGAAACCACAGAAGAGGGAAAAGAAAGTACCAGAACCAAAAGAACCAAAGAAAGAGGAGAAGAAGGAGACATTGAAGAGAGGACAAAGAGGGAAGCTGAAGAAGATACAGAAGAAGTACAAGAATCAGGATGATGAGGACAGAGCTGTGATGATGGACATGCTTCAGGTAATTTTAATAAACCATCGCCATATTGTGCAGAAATTTGGAACTAATTTTGCGCACATAAAAAGCTAATTGAAGCGCTGATTATTATATTCTTGTTTAGGCTATATTTTATAGTGTCACTCACAGTCTTTGATTAGTAGCGCCTTAGTGAATATATTTGACATTAAATCTACCTTAAGAATTACACTTATTTACCATCAAATAACTCTGAAACCAGCAGTTTGAGATTAATTTGAAATATAAATGGTGTTCAATATCTTTAAGTTAAAGAATGAAATTAGGAATGTATATTGAATTTTCAGTCGTCAAAGGAATCAAAAGAGTCAAAGAAAGCTCAGAAGAAGGCAGCAGCAAAGCCTTCGAAGAGCAAGGCGGGTCAGGCGCGTGCGCAGCGCATCCCGCAACCCGCGCCGCTGCTGCTCGAGGCTGACTCTGAGGAGGAGATCGATCCTGAGGTAATATTATCTGCCTCACACTCTGCTTATCTACACTATGTGTATGTTTTAATGTAAAATAATCTTGTAATGTAAATTTTTTACTCATTTCAAAGTGTATTTATAACAACGCCATCTAGTGAGAAGTTTTAAAGATAGTTAAATTTTAATAGATTAAACTTATGCGGGTGAAAAGATACTTCCAAAATATAATAATTGCAATACTTTTACTAATATTATATATTCAAAAGTTTTAATGTATATTTGTTTGTCCAAGGCATTTCCAGAATGACCGCATAGAACTACAGAACACAGACTTATTATGTTTTGTTTTTTAATTTCGCGCGGACAATACTTCGGGCGACGGCTAATTTTTATTTTTTTCTTATAGTACAACTAATCGAAATTAATTATGTTATAAGATTGAGCAAGTGGAGGGCGCTGATGCTGCGGGCGCGGACACAGACGTGGAGCTGCTGGCTCAGCTGACAGGCTGCCCCTGTGCTGAAGACGAGCTGCTGTTTGCTGTGCCTGTTGTAGCTCCATACTCCGCACTCGTCAACTACAAGTCACTTCTTTTTTATCACTCATTCACATTTATTATAGTAATATAAGGTTGACTTGGGGGCGCCACAGTCGCCTTTTGTATTGCCAACACTAAAACATTAAAATTTTTAAGTATAGACCAACAAGTATTAGCTCACTAGCGCCCTCCTGACAACATCTCTTTGTACTGTTGCTATTATGTAATTTTTTATGTCATTATCCTATGTATGAGGTAAGGTTTTATATACAGACAAAACCAACCGCGACAGCAGCGCCTCTCACCAACACCAGATTTTTTTTTAAATTATATTTTCTACTTTTCAATGAAAAACTTATGAGATGAGATATTTTTTTACAAAATAAGCATACTCTTTGATGTATTAATACAATGACATTTATATTAAAAGTATTTATGTGTCTCAGGTACAAAGTAAAGCTGACTCCGGGCACGAGTAAGCGCGGCAAGGCTGCTAAGACCGCGGTGCAAGTGTTCCTGAGGGACAAGTGCGGCTCCGCGCGGGAGAGGGACCTCCTCAAGGCTGTCAAGGAGGAGAACATCGCCAGGAACTTCCCCGGAAAAGTGAAACTCTCCGCACCGCAGCTTCACAAACACAAGAAATAATTCTATAACATTAAATTTTAAACAATTTCTTGCAATTTTTTATTATTTAACGTTTAAAATGTCCGTACAATAAGTTAAACGAAGTCCAAACTGTTTTTTCAAATAAATAATAATTATTTTCTGTTAATAAAATCTCTTGAATAAATATCGTTTTTTTTTTTCATTTTTTAATTGGTCAAAAATCAATCCACTATCGGGTAATTAAAACTAAAAAAATATTATAGTACTTTTATATTATAATTAAAATAATATTTGTCGTTAAAAATAACATACGAATTATCATAGAATGAATTTAATAAACTTGGAGGAGTCTAGTCCTCCTCCTCCTCCTCCTCTTCGGGGAAGCCCTCCCCCTCCCCGGGCATCTCCTGCGGGGGTGGGGGCGGGAGGTGAGCGATGCGGTACGCCTGTACAAAACAACAATAAATTAATTTCTATTTATGTTTTATTTACTTAAGAATTAATTTCAAACTTACGTATATTACAGTAAAAGTCAAACAACAAATGACAATTTTTAAACTTAGATGTTAGCATAAACCTTAAGTGATGCAATAAAGAAGGCAAATTAGGCGCCATCCTGACAGATTTCTATTATTCTAGTCATGCTATAATAAAATAATCGGACCTCCTCATCAGCGAATGTAGGATCAGCCATTTCCATGACCTCCGGCCCTATGATGTACTCGGTCTGTGGTCGCGGCAACTGTAGCGGCGAGAAATTGGGCATCTGCGTCTTCAGACCCCATCCCACGTACATACACTCTGACCTCCTGAAGGGAACCAAGAAATTTGATGATTGGAGTAACTATACTTTCTCTTGAACTTTCATGTCTTTTAATAGCTCTATTTGTAAGTAAGTCTGTACCATATTATTTTATTCATCTTCTAATTAGTTGCAATCAAAGACTAACCAACTCTTGTTTACAAATTATATTAATCTGGCAACGAAGCTAATCTCTTGTCTGGGATTCCCTAACGTTCATCACACAGTAGCTAACCTAAAAAGAATTGTAAAAAGGTATACTGCGGTCAACTCACTTGCCATCATTAGCATAGGCGACGGCACCGGGCCACAGCTTGCTCCGCAGCAAGGCGAGCGCGCGCGAGCTGGTCAGCGTGGTGCTGACGTGCGCACTCCACGCGGGCGCGCCGGCAACTGTCGCGTCGCCCGCCACCGCACTGAACAGCGCCGGACCAGTCTCCGGCTCCACCAATGGAAGATTCTCTTCCTCCTCCTCTTCACCTTCATCCTAAACATAGTATATATCTCTCTTTCTTGGATATCATCGTTTCTATATCCCGAAATTCACAACTGTGGATGTCAAATGTCACCATCATATCAGCGCGAGGGTTCCACCAGATGGTCCTGCCCTGCGGCAGAATGTGGCGGCCGTGGTGCACCCAGTAGCCCAGAGAGGGGTCCACTAGGTCCTTGATCGTATGTCCCTGATAGAATGGGTTTAGGTTGAAGTTCATGTCTGAAAGAAAACAATCATTTTTCATCATCTTTGGTGACACATTATGGTCTTATGTTACTAGTATATTAACCTCCCGCCTCCTCCATGTCGATGTCCTCCTCCTCCTCCCCGGAGCCAAAGGTGAAGAACCCCTGTGGCGAGATAGAGGTGGCGGCCGCGATGCGCGAAATTTGCGCGCGCAGGTAGTGACGCTCCGTGCCCTCGAACGGCGGGAAACTTTGTATCTACACGCGTATTAAATACAAATATTTTAACTATTGCTCATCAGTAATGGAGACCGCACGTGATCTCGGACATTAGAAACTCTTTGTCGTAAATCCATACGCACGTTAGTTTACTATGTCAAACGAGATAAGTTGTGTGTTGTAAGTATTCATTATTCAAAAATAACCTCGGCATCGAGATCCCCGGTCATGACGCGCACGGTGAGGCGCGCGACGCGCACGTGCTGTGGCGTGATGTCCGGTAGGCACACCCAGGGCGAGCCCAGTGACGTGCAAACCCAGTACACCTGCACATATCGACCTTCATCATCATCATCATCAGATATTTCTTCAATATCATAACCGGTCGCGAACCCGCAATTTTAGCCCATATGAAATAAACCGGATAGTGTATCATCACCAATGAATATCAATTGTTACTATTTACTTCTCATACGTGACAATTAGCTGTGAAGTTCCATCACAGAAAAAGAGTAATATTATAAAAAAAAACATCAAAAACCACAGTATAATATGTAGTAGGAAACACATACAACACACACTTCCATAATTTATAATAATCACCTTCTTGTTAACACCTTGTCCCGGTCTTTCTACAGGTATGGGAGGCTCCGGTGTCCACGTGGACACAGGCAGCGGCGGCAGCTTGGGGGGTACCAGCTCCTTTGTCTTCGGCTCCCGTTCCTCCCCCTCTCCAACTAATGGAAAAGCATTGCTACGATATGTGAGAAGCTTCACTTAACCTTTTTTTCACCTCGTATATTTACCTAGATTGATAAGACAAATAAGTCTTTATTACGGCTTTGTAAGATACATACGTATTTCCTTTCGTTCCTCGGGTTCGTTGTCCGGTTCCTCAGGTTGTCCCTCTCCTTCGCCTTCCCCCGGCATGTCCTTCATGTCAAACTCCTAAACAAGCAATATGTTTTTGCTACTAAACCAACGAAGAAGATAAAATTGAGTACTTAATTATTTTAAAATACAGACCCTGATCCTGCGGTCCAATTCTTCTATCGTGAGGTCAGTCTCCGCCACGTAGTAATCTGCATTCGTTCCGAAAATCTTACCGAAAAATCTAAAATCGGAAACAGATCAATATAGCAATTCTTAATTTAAATAAGTAACAAGTAACTCATAAAAATAACAAACAGACGTATTGAGAATCACCTATTTTTGGGAGTCGCTTAAAAATGATGATTTTTCTTAATAAACAAAGTATACCTCGATTATGATAGTAGGGCATTAAAATAAGCCCGAACTACGATTATTTCATACATATTCTAAAAGAATAGCCGTATTTATTTTAGGAAAATACAACTTACCTGACAGTAGCTACAGGTTCTTTTATAGTCAACATGTTCAAAGCTATGTAGAGAGCGTAACATTCACTTTCCGGGAGCCCGTAGCCGCACTGGAAATATATTATTAAATTTAATTAGATACATAGGCAAATGAGGATAAACGTTATGAAAGTCATATAGCTTGATTATTAACTTACCTGTCTGAAGTAATAATTATGATCGATAACGTCCGAAATCCTCGGCTTGGTAGACTCCTCCTCGAGGTCCAACTCTTGCTCCTCCTCACCAACCTCCTCCATCTTCTGCGACTTACTAGCGACTAACTACACGACAAAAAGAAGTATAATAGTAATTTTTAAATAATAATATCAAGTAGTGTCTGTAAAAATTACCACGATACGAAGAAAATCGAACCTTAAACATATCATCCATCGTTCTCATAAGTTCAAGCTGTGGGGGCGTTAAGTACACATCATTGAGGAGATCGAAGTTAGGTCGCAGTTTCTCTTCTTTAACCTCCCATGAGAATTGCTCGAAGTTGTCGACCACATCAGGCGGTTTATGGGTCAAGATTTTTTGTACCATGTCTACCAAATGATCATACCTGGCGACATTAAACATTATCTTGGAGAGGATATACTTTATTTGCGTAATTCTTATAACCAATTAACTTACAAACTATCACCAGTTGCAGCGCTTTGTTGTTTCAAAAAGTTTTTTGCTTTTATTAGATCACTGTTCAAATCGGGCATAACATTTTCAGTAGCCGCTATGATCTCTGGCTCCAATAAAAATGTTTTGGACATTTTAAGTATGAAACAAGTACAGAAACTATTTAATTACAGAACAGTTATTTATAATCTGAAATGAATTAGATAAAATAATTAACTTTCGGACCTATTCAAACAAAACGGTCCATTCAACATTGCCGTCAACTTATGTCATCAAAAATTTAAATTATTATAAATGTGACTGAAAAAGCCTAACATGAAGACTTTACCTTTATGCAAATACTTAGGGAGTGTAATGAAACGAAAGCTAATTGAATTGTAGTCCAAATTAGTGCAAATATAATTGACTATAATGTCTAATAAAAATGTATATTTTCCATTAATAATAGTCCCATATTTGCGCATATTTGGCTCTGAATTTTGTGCCTTTGGAAAAATTGATAGAAAAAAAAGTTTGACAGTTGACATTGACAGTTAGGTTGACAAGTGACATTTTTAATTTCAATGCAATTTATGCATAATCGAATTATTTTTGATTTTAATAAAAAATATTAAGATAAGGATCAACTGAAACCATGCCAATGTGTTTCATGCACGAAAGAAATGATATATGGTAAAAATACTTACAAATTAAGAAGTATACTTACGCATAACCTGTAACTACCAAATCAAAACAAATAAAACATCCGCTATGACTGTTAGATTTGATGCAGCCGCTTATAATTTCCGTAAGAAATGCCCTTACGTAAGAAAAGACTTGCTTCGGTGGTTCCCTGGTCATATGAACAAAGGTTTAAAACAAATGCAAAGAAAGCTTTCCTCAGTTGACTGTGTTATTGAAGTTCACGATGCCAGGATACCTTTTACAGGTCGTAATCCTGTTTTCACGGAAACTATGATAGGTGCTAAGCCTCATATTCTTGTATTAAACAAGAGGGATCTTACAATAAGTACTTTACTGCCGAAAATAGTGGACCAACTGAAGGCTGAAGAAAATGTACAAAATGTGCTGTTTACAAATAGCAAAGATCAACATTGTCGTGGTCTAAAGACACTAAAACCGCTTATGGTTGACTTAATTAAGAACTCCAATAGGTACAACAGAAGTGAGGAGTTAGATTACAATGTAATGATAATAGGAGTGCCTAATGTTGGTAAATCGTCTTTGATAAATATGTTGCGGTCGAAAAACATGAGGATCCGACACGCGCTACCCGTAGGGGCAGTGGCGGGCGTGACACGCAGCCTCATGACTAAGATGAGGATAAACGATGACCCAAAGATATTTATGTTTGACACACCTGGTTGGTATTTTGTTTATTACCCTTCCACTATTAAAGTTATGGGCATTGTATGAAGTTTATGTCATAGTATTTATTCTTTTCTTTAAACAATTTATTTCAAATATTTATTTGTTCATTTTTACATGATGATGAAAAAATGATTATTTTATTTCCTTCATTCGTCCAAAAAATTTAAATTGTTTATTTGTAAAATTAAAGTAATTTTATATTGATACACTCTTTTGGACATCAGTTTCATACTATGTATATCATTACAGGCATATTGGAGCCATCGGTGACTGACATAGAGATGGGTCTGAAACTGGCACTCTGTGCATCACTCCAAGACCATCTGGTAGGCGAGGAGACCATCGCCGATTACCTGCTGTACTGGCTGAACAGCCATGCTAAGTTCAAGTATGTTGACTACATGGGCCTGGAGGAACCTTGCGATGATATACAAAAGGTTACTTGTTTATGAGTTAATTAATTTTATTCAGTTTCAATCAGTTTTTTATTATTGTAACTTACTCCGCTGGTGCAGCACTCTAAAGTGGATCTTGGCCTCCGACATCGCCAAAGTCGCGTGTTTAATATTGTTAATTGGTACTAATTACTTCTATTTACCGAACAATAGGGTTTAGAAGTAATTTACGGTTATTATAAGATATTTATTATAAAAATTTATTGCAGGTGTTAGTATCTGGTGCAGTAAAATACAACCGTATTAGGAGAGTGAGAGATTTTGACGGCAGAACAAGAGAGGTGCCCGACTTGCTTGAATCAGCCAGAACTATGATCAAAGCTTTCAGGACAGGGGAACTCGGCAGGATGTTCCTTGACATTGATGTGCTGAAATTAAGACGTAAGACTGAAATACAAGAAGAGATGGAAGAATTGGGTTAGGTTCACTTTTTTTTATAACAGAAGGGAGCAAACGAGCAGCGGAACACCGAGGTGTTCAGCTACATACTTGGACATATTTGACTATTCAAATGTCTATACATGGTGCTTTAGAAATAAAACATTTTTATTTAGCCAAAAATCAATTGTAGAAGCAAATGGAATATGAAGGAAAGTTTGCATTCTCTTAAAAAAAATGTTGTGTGTCAGTCTTCTTATCGAACTTGAGATCAGACTAAGGATATGTTTATTTTTACGAATTTCAAGTATGTACTGGCTAACTTTATTTGCCTATTTACTTAGAGAGATCTGCAATAGTTGTCCTTGAAGTTGGATTTTCGATGTCTATATTTTCATAAACTATTCTAATGTATAATATTTGTAAATACTGTACAGTATTAATTTTAGTATTTGTGTAAAATAGTAATTTGCGCAATAAAAGAAAATATTTGATACCGAATCTTATTTTTTTATTTTTAAACAACATTTTAAAGCTTCCAGCCAATAGATGCGTAATCAAGGTCAGTATTTTTTAGACCACAGAAAAAGAAAACATATTTGCCTTGCCAAAATGAATTTGCACTAATTTGGAGGATTTTCAAACTTACGAAAAATAACAATTGTTTCAACGTTAATTTGAATTACCTTAATTGATTATTTATGTAAGCATATTGGCTACATATAAAAAAAGGTTAAAATGCAAATATTCGAAAATAATATAACCTACTTGGTCAGTCTAGTGAACCAACATAAATTAAAAAACGTTAATGATGTACGTCACAATGACAAGCGATTAAAAAAACAAAACCAAAAAAAATCGTAAATGGACACAATATAAATCTGAGACAATAAAATTAAAACATGCATCCTTAGTAAAGCGGAAACAGAACGGAACGATCGCAACAAACTAGTTGGCGGTGTTTATAATGAATCCACTCGATTATCTGTTCACTTTCGTCGACGCGATACAAAACCTGCGATGGCTGATTGAGGCGGCCGTCGACACCTACCCCGTAGCCAAGCTGTCAAGGATCCACACCACGTGATGCCCGCGCCCACTCGCACCCTATGGACGACACGGCCGCGAACGAGAACCCCACACGCACGGACCCGGAGGCCGAGAGCTCTACCGATTGCCTCACGTCAGAGTATGTGACGGACAAGCTGAGCCTGCCCAGCTCCATCTGCAGCTCGGAAACGTGGCTAACGAGCAGCTGGTGCGAGCGGCCGAGCACCAGCGAGTGTAGCAAGGACGCTTCATTCTCCTACGAGCCCCATTCCACCCCCTATAACATGTCCTCTCCCGTCAGGAGCTGCGTTGTTAACATGATCACTTTGTACGACTCCTCTTTGCCCGCCTTCGCTACCAAGACGTATTCGCCTCGGAAGGCGAGGCGGCGTTGTAATTCAACGTGTACTGTAGATTCTTGTACTTGTGCAAGTCTGACCTCGGATGTGTACGACTGTGTGGCCACTAAAGTCGGGAAACGGTCGTCATGGTCCCCCTCCTCTCGCGACAGTAGCACGGACGCGTACCCCAGCTCTGCGGAGAGCTCCCTCATCAGTACCAGCACCATGGTGACCCAGGACCAGGACCAGAAACTGCCGTGCCTGGTCAGTCGCAGCTCAACCGTGCCGTCGAGCGGACGTGCGAGCGCGACGGCGCGGAGACCGAAACGCGCCGCCACCTGCGTCCCGCATTGGATGTTCGTTAAAAGAAAGATATTGCGGATGCTGAACGTTCCGAAATTTATTAATTTTAACATGCGTAAAAATAATTTTCAACAGGAAGTTTGTTAAGGACAAAATAAAACATTTTCAATGTACTAGTAACTTTTATTGCGTTATACACATTCTTATAGATAGTGTAAAATACATCCGAGATATCTTCTGGTCACTTCAGAGTATTATTTATTAGATTTGGCCGCGTATGGGACTGATATTCGAAATGATAAGAAATAGAGATACATGAATATGTTAAGCGTATCCTCGGTTATTCTTAAGTTTATCTACATCTACATTGATATAAACTAAACTATAGATTGTCAAATATATAAAACATAACACCGTAGCTCGAGTACTTAAATAAGATAAGTTTATTCAATTTAAATATTCGAATATAAATTATTTGATGATAATTTTTTTAAAACGTTTCTGCTGGGTTTCCATTCCACCAGACCGGCAGATTTACCGGACGCCGAACAGAGGTTCACGTTCACGGCAAAAATGGCGGGATCGGTATTAGTTTTTGGCAGTTTTACCTGCCCGACAAATCTATTAATCCAGTGTAATTTGATTCTTGGTTTACAATTTATTAAATGCTGGCACAACCTTTGTTACTACTTTGTAATACAACCTTACACTGACGTTTGACCATCATTTTATTTTAAGAAAAAAAAAAACTAGTAACTATGTGAGCGTATAACCGTTAATAAAAATGCTGAAAAGGAAATTAATCTACATCCTTATTTATTAATACAAAACACATAAAATAAAAGAATTTTAAATAAAATGCAGTAAAAATATTTAACCTTTAGTGTTCTATAACCCTATACACGGCCAAAGCAATGAAACTAAAGAGATATCGCATATTGATTAGTGGCAACTAATATAATATTACTTTTTTATTTTTAAACACAAACAAGCATGACAAAAGTTGTTTTCGACCATGACTTTCTATTAAAACGAAAAGTTGCAGTTAAATATTACGATGTTTTATTTCATAACCTTTACGGACACCAGTATTTCCCGCCATAAAACAGAAATGTCACAATTTTTCGGACATTTTTTTTTTGCTATAATTGACTGGCTGCTTCGCCGCCGCCAAGCATAAATATATTTAAAAAATAATTATTACTGCTTAGGAGCATCACAAAGGCTAACAACATTTCCGTAGTACTTTGGCTCTGTGAGTGCGTTCACCAAAAATTCACCGAGGTTCCATTTTGAGATGGCCCTACCCGGTGATTTTTGAGGATTTATCTGAATAATTGTTTCACAGCTCGGTTCCTCTGCAAAAAAAAAACATTTTAAATTGAATAAACTCTACAAACGAGAAAGACGTGACTGTATGGCCTAGAAACCTTTGCCTTTTTCACCATAATAATCAAAAATACACACAGATCTTTTTGTCAGCGCTTTACTTTCCTTTATACGTACGGAATTTGACTAAACAGTCGGTCTGTATAATTTAAAGAAAATAGTTTACGAAGCACTTTATTGAATACAATGACCTGGTAACCTTTCCATTACAATTTCAAACGTTATTTTACTTATAACATGCAGCTAATATACCAATGAATTACGCTTACGTAATACCAAGAACCTCAACTGTTATGGAATTCTTTGTAAGTAATTATTTTGTAAACATTACGATAAACGCGTCATATTGGGCACTGTTAGTATCAATGAAATTCAACACTGTTCGACTGTTATTAAAAAAGTTAATAGACTTAATAACTCATAATACTATTACAAGACGAATAAAATTATAACGATACTATGACGAACCGGTTTTGATACTTTAAAATTAATATGTTTATCTTAAGGTTTTTCACGATTCCGTCATCAAAATTCCAATTTACAAATTCTACCAGGGACTTATATACTTGATAATTATTTCTTATTACACTGCGGACGTCATTAAAATTAATTATTTAAATTTATTGTAACATTGTTCATTAACATGTCTATGTACTATTAATGTTGCAAAGTCCAAGATTTATGTTAATTAAAGTTGCAAAAAATGTATACGACCGTACGAGAAATCTACACTAAGCGATTGTTTTAAAATAAGGCAAATACAGGATATAAGGGTCATATTATATATTTTAAAAGAGTTTGAACTAACCTGATATATGTGGAGGGAAAACAGCGACCCAATTCATGGATGTCTCTTTCAACGCTTCATACATCCTTCTATGATCATTGGTCAAATGTTGGAACTTCGGTGGTACTTTATCCGGCTCGTAGAACAGAAAAGCAGAAAGGCATGTACTAATCGTCTTCACATTCTTGGCTCTCATCGCTTCTAGAATATTCTTTAGACCTTCAGAAAGATCTGAGGTGGGATCGAGACAGCTGCGGGTGCCCAATACGACAACAACGCAGTCAGTGCCCTCTACCGCGTTCGTGACAGAATCTGGTTCAAGGACATCGCCTTTGAAGATCTCTACTTTGTCTTTGAGATTGTCCGTCAATTTTTGTGGGTCTCGAAGGAACGCACGCACTTGGAAACCTGGTGATATTAATATTGCGGTCAAGTTAAAATAAGAAAAGAAATATGAAAAATAAATGTTCCTTATATACTAATAGTTGTTTATTTGAAATATCTTCAGAACGGCTGAATGGATCTCGATGAATATGGCATAGTCTGGAAGAACACATAGACTACTACGTTTTTTAAATTCCGTGCAGATGGAATCGCGAACAACCTCTATAATTAATAACCAAATAACTGATTATTTTAATTGTATAAAAACGTAAATTGAAACTGTTATGCGTAAGTATGGATGTACGAGTCGATAGGTGTGCTAGGCCTGCGTCAATTGGATACTTGGGGTCACGTGTATTATTATGTTATAAATTGTACATTGAATGTTTTAAACAACTGCTATAACGCTCACGAGTAAATCATGGCCAACAAGTAAGCAATCCAAAGGAATAGTTTAACAAATTCCTTCCGTTACAAAGGTCGACGTAGCTAATGCGTACCGTCCGGTCATTCGAACACTTAGTTAAACCGTTATATCTCAAGATCAGATATACATGATATGTATTAAATATATAATGTCCATACATTACGCTTACGATAATGGAATAATTATATTATACTACAAAACATCGGAAATTTTTAACTATATTAAATTTTCCGCCGTAATTTTTTCTTTGTCTACTCTAACGAGTTCGTAGCCTTGAGTTATTAATTGATGATTGAGACGCCAACAAAAATATGAAACACGCCAAAATTCTCATCAATTAAAATAGACTACGTCATTTCCATACGTATTTATACTCAAAATCTCCATTTGTAGTTTATTTTTTAATATTAATAATCTTATTGGATGAAAAAGCGATAATAATGCCAACAAAGACAACATTGAAAACAATACTCTCTGCCTATCCCACTGGATTACGGACCTGAGTACTGTGTAGTGAGAGTGTACTTAAGACAAGTACCTTAAGTATATGTCTTGTTTTATTTTCATATACTTAAGGTGATACATAAAACCTATAAAAATAAAAAAGTTTTTTTTTTAATTATTACAAGACCTTTAAACATATTTTAACACTGCTACAGACTGGCTAATTTAGCGTTCATACATAAAATTAGTATTATTTAAAATGTTAGGTCAAGTAATGAACTAAGTTGCATGTTTCAAGTAATACACTTATGGTAATTACATGAAGTATGTAACCCATTAAAGGTACCATAGTCAAACCGGTTTTAATAACTACGCCGTTACTATGCATAAAACATTGAGATGTATAAAAAGTTGCAAACAAGAAATATACAGGAAAACAAGATCTAGTTTTTCTTTAAAAAATTTTTTTTCCTTTTAAAGATGTACTTTATTTACTCATCAATTACAGCTTTGAAATGTTAACAAATTCAGTTAACCTAGCATTCCTTTTTTTATAACAGAAGGGGGCAAACAAGCAGCGGAAACTCCAAGGTGATCAACAACACCCGTGGACATTTGCAACCCCAGAGGAACTACAGATGTGTTGTCGGCCTTTAAGGACCTGTTAGCTGTCCTTAGCCTTATTGTGTTCCTGTTATTGACTAATACCATCTTTCATATTCACGGAAAATAAATAAATGGCAGAAGAAGGAAGAAGAAAATGGCAAACAGACTAAGCTTAGTAAACCATAAACTGTAAACTACTAATCAATTACTTTTCTTTATTGAAAAGGAAGAAGAAACTGAATGTGGATTTTTACATCCCCTACCCTGTTTAATTTGTCCACTTTTGATCTGTTCCTTATTAGAAAATGATGAGAGAAAGATAAAGGATGCACTGACCATTTTTTTTAAGTAAGCATTAATTTAAAATAAGAAGATGATACTAATTACATGGACAAATTGGATTTATTTTATTATTGATAATAGGAATTGTTATCGTTCACTTAGATACTAAAGCTTGTTGAGATAAGATATCTGAGAAATATCTTTTATAATAAAGAATAGTAAAAACATCACAAGTATCACACACAATTCCATATGCTATCTGGTTTAATTTTTTAATATTTTTAACAAAATTAACACAATCTGTACACATTATACAAAAAGTAAAAAAGGGAAAAATAAAACATATCGTGTACTTTTAATTTAAAAAAATACCGCGAAAATTCAGTTCAGTTTTTCGCTTGAATTACAACTAAGTAGGATAAGACATTAATTGTTTTTATGTTTTTTACGAAGTTTATAATGCGTTTTTAAAATTTACCTTTTTTTACAGCTGCTTCAACAGCGCAAAGGCCGGTCATGCCGGTAGATCCAAAAATCACAATTTTCTTCATTTCTGTGAAAGAATAAAAAGTTTATGTATCAAAAATATATAAGTAGATTTAACGAACACCGTTTGTAATAACATAAAAAAGGAGATCGGAAAACACTCGCAATAATCTATAAAGTCGGTCTTACCGATTACGTCCTTCTAGGAACCGAAACTAAAAGAACTAAATGAAAACTATTGCCGTTTTTTATTTAAACAAACGTCGAAAACTGTATAAGACTAAATAATGTAAAAATATATTTACGTTCAGCAAATATCACTATAACGCTTTAAACTATATTACGCTTATTGCTGCCTTCGTAATAATGAATAACTCCAAGAATTGAAAAGTGAGAACGTGAAAATACTCCAAACTTCAATACTTCACTGTATTTATATTTAAACATATGTAGACGAATTAAGTTTGTCTTATATGCACTCTTCGATCTTTAGCACTATGTCTCATGAGGGAAAGAGATAACTGATGCTATTAGCTGTCAGTTTATAAATCCACGATAATCCACGATCATTTCAGTATAGTGATGAACACTAATTTTATTTTATTGAAATATCGATTTTAAAACTGAAAAATCTCAATAAACTTTGCGAAGTGATGTATTATCCTATACGGTACCTATAGATAGTCTCCGCCCTTAAGAATAGTTTTGTCTGTTTAAGAGAGTTACAAAATATTTTATAGCACAGGCTTATAGTTTGCAATACATTCGTATTTAAAGGAAAAGGAAATTTTTGTAAGGATAATAACAGAAAATCTTCTATTATTATCCTTACAAAAATTCTATTGATCAAATTTCTATTGAAGAAAATTTACAATTTCTTTCAATAGAAATTTGATCTTCACGAAAAATGTTATCTAAGTAACTAAAAATTATGTCTTTCGTCGACTTCTTATGAATAGAAAATGGATGTGATAAATGAATGATGTTTAAATTATTAATGCTCCGATAAATTGTAAACTAATTGGATGATTTCTATTTATTATTAAATAAATTTGTAGTTATATTTCTTCGGTCCAGTGAAAAATTTAACAAAAAAAAAGAATAATTTTGTAGGACAATTTTTGGAATAAAAGCGCGTCTCTAAGTCTTTAAGCTATGGTTACAAAGAGTATAAAAAATATGGTTATGTCAAAATCTGTCTGATCTGACGTCTAAATCTAACCTCAAAAGATCATGCCACTTTCCAAAACAGCAAAACAGTGTTAATTTTATATCCCTAATATTGCCTACAAAACATAATCAATACTAAATATGGGAGATGTTGAAGAATATTTTCCTCGTGGTGGGAAAAAGCCAACGGTTACATATTTTAAACAAAGTGGTAATGTAAGTATTTCATTAATCATTTTGAGATATATTTTGTAATTTTTTAGACACATTGATTTACTTTAAAAATAATAGTTTTTAGGTGCGGCTGAGAAAGGAGAGAGAAAGAAACAGAAACCTAAAAAGAAGTCGGAAAATGACGATGGGTATTTATCAGATGAAATTGTTGCTGACGATGACCAATCATACAAAAACTGTGGCATATGTCTTAATTACAAGGTAAAACATTGCTTTTATAATGATGGATTAATCTTAAATCTAATTGTTCTTGTATATAAATTCTTGTATATACTTCATTTTCAGATAGTAAAGGAAGGACAAGTGTTTTTAGGGAGAGTACGAGATGCTTTAGAAACAAGAATAAATATTTCATTGCCATGTAGGCTGTTTGGTACCGTGATGGCTTGTCACATTAGTGAGGCATATAATAAAATACTGGAAGCATATGTTAATGACCAGGTATTATTTAATATTTGTTAGTTATAATGATA